AAGAGTTACAATATTTTAGACGAATGATTTAGACAAATGTCCTTTTCTAGTTAGCTTGGCATTTTGAGTACATGTCAGAACCATATTTAATTGATCTCTATTTAATGTTTTTTCCTCTTTGTTTTGTTTTGTTTTTTTTTTTTTTTTTAAATTGAACAATTGTAATTGGTTTCTTATTCTTGTTTCTTTTCTCTTTTATTTAGATTTAAATAGTTAGGTGAAGTTGTGTATGCATATTTTTGAAAAGCTTGTTTCTCACAAGTGTTCAATGACATCCAATCATGTATCATTCAGATGCCAGAATTCTCCGTTACTGTGGCTGGTGTTCCTCACATCACATTTATATGGTTGTTCTTTCTAATCTTGTATGAAATATATAGGCTGTGAAAATTGAGAGGTCTCATAAGTATCAAAATGTAAGCTTCAAATTAAAAGATAGCTATTACTGAAACAACCAATGTTAACCTTCACAGAAATATGTATATGTCTGTCATTGTTCCACAACCTGACTTTGTTATATCATGGCTTGGGTTAGGGGGGGTCAGATTATATATGGACTTTCTACCGTACATGACAAAAGAATAAAACAAGTCTCGGGTTTGAGGGATGAGAAAAGTAAGCAAGGTGGGCAGTATTGATTTATAAAAAAGGAAAAGGAGTGATATGCTTTTATGAATTATGAAATTGCTATTAGTGATCTAGATGTTTATTGGTATAAGTAGAATTTTAATTATGCTAGAGGCAAGGGTGAAACTTACACATACTTTTTTTGCTGTGCACATGCAAAAGTGTTATAATAACGTTAAGTTCTCAAACTGAAGCATTACTCCATTCATGAACAGAAGTTGTAGCTATGCTGTATAACTTGATAAATGCGAGAGTTTTAATGGAAATGATCATAATGACTCGTGTCTAATTGCATCTTTTACCTTAAAATAAAAATGGTTGTTTATGGACTTGTGGACTTAAGATCTGCATGGTTGATTTTTGTATTTGTGAGTTAGTAGATGGAGGCAAATAAATGGACAATCAGTTTGTTTATAAACATGTGTACCAAAATTCCATTGAAGTGTTAGAAATCATCATTTTCATGTGTATTGATAGATATTCAAGGCTTCTTTCAACATTATTGTGTTCATTTTTCATGTCTGTCTTTCACAAAATTTGAAATCATGGAAAGAAAACTGACTTTTGGGTAGCAGTCATAGATTTCATGTAAGCATCATACTACAACTAGTTCTTCAATGTCCTTTTCCTTCTGACTTGTCTGATTGATTTTAAATGTTTCACTGAATGTCTTTAATATCTGACTTGGAAATTTGAGTATGCGATCATGACCATTAACGTTCTGCTGCATGTAATCAATTCTTCTTATGAGAGTTGAAAGTTTTGTTGTCTGTTATCCTCCTGGTGCTCTACATTACCCCTTCCCGCCTAGAGGGCAATACAAGAAGTTTTAGCCTCCTTGTGTTTAATAGTTAGTCTGGATGTATGCTATAACCCAAGTTCTTTCTAATAAAGCAGAGCCTGTTGTACATTAGTTTCTTCTTTATGATATGTTATACTATTACTATGTTCAAATTTTTCCCAGCCATGATTATCAATTTCTCATGTCTTGCTAAGTTGCTCGGAAGTGCAGGAGCCGATACAGATTTATATTTGATTTTTTTTTCTTAAACTTGGCTACAATAAACTAATGCTCTTTTTGTAGTGCTCCATTTTTTCACATCAACATATAAATTGGTTGAAGAAATTAAATTGATGCATTTTACTTGTGATGTGTCCTCTGAATTATTGATAAACTTGTGTCTTTGCTTCAGGAATCGCTACATAGGAAGATCGTTTTGATGACACGAACTTGTAGGTGAAGATAATCCAGTGAAGCAGGTGAACTGTGAATTTTGCACACCACTGTTGTTACTGTATTTCGGTTTAAGTCGCAAGATGTTTGGTTTTCTAGAGCTAACTGGAGTGCCTGTTTTGAGGGTTCAGATATAGAGATAGATTACAAGGGAATGTTAAGGCTTGAGTTTTTTGAGTTACTGTTTAGGTTTTGGGATTTGAGTGAGATGTAAAATCTGATTGCGGGATATAGCGGAAGTGTATCATGCATCACTTGTGAGGCACCAATATAAAAGATGGACAGCATTTCTTTTTTCTTTTTTTTTTTCCTTTTTTTTGGGGTAGATTTTTTTTGCCTTTTATGTCTTGCAAAGTTGTGGGTTCTTCTCAGGAATTGTTTGTTTCTTCATCCATCATTTTGGTTTGCTTTTAGCAGATTGTATCTGAGGTTTTTGTTTATTACTAGTGTGAAACATTGAAGGGATACCCATCTAGGGTCCCGTGAATAAGTTTACTTATATGTTCTGATTCTTTTTCTAAAGGGGAATATTTTATGCTACAAATTCAAACATGTGTGATAAATGGATTTATTTTTCCCCATTTGCCTTTTTTTCTAAATTCTATGGACTATTTAGTATTTCATTAAACTTGCTTTTGGAGATATTATGTGTTTAGTTGAGTGTACCCCATTGCCATTTTTAACACAGCTGTATCGTTTGAAAGATTTAAAGAACTTGTAAGCATCGTTATTAAAGCAATGCACTCGATAAAATAATGTCAGAAATTAAATACAAATGAATTCTTTTAGCAATGAGACAGTAGGTATTTGATGTAGACATGATGGAGGTTAATTATAGTGTATTACTCTCAAAGCTTTGGTGCTAACTACGAAGTATGCAGCAACTGGTGTCTGTTTATGTTGGTCGTATCTAAGTTTTGTCAGCAGTTCGGTTGTGTTAGTCATCTAATCGTGGATAGTTAGCTAGTCAAGGATCTCTAATTTTCATCATCATGACATATTTTTGAGACCTTCTGCATGTTCAATATTTCATAGTAAGCCACTGGATCTAGGTTTCTGTATACCACTTAAACATGTATTGTGAAGTTTTTCGTATTTCAAGTATTGTTTACTGTGTCCTACGCGTTTATGTAAGTAATATTTTTAGTATTGAATTTTCAATCTCAAGTCTATTGTATTGTTAGACTCACATAATTGATATGTCTGTTTTGACTTTTGTGAGTCTTGAGGATTTTGTTTTTTTTAAAGGTGCTTTAGTCGATTAAGGAAGTATTTTATAGATTAACATCGGTAACGTATTTTTAATCAAAAATGGAGTTTTACATTGTAATATGCGTTAAATATTTGATAGAATCATTTATTATGTATATAATTGGATAAAATTTTAATTTTGATTGCAGAATTGGAGAATAGTACCTGTATTATTACATGTAAATTTTATCATTTATAAAGTATTCTTAACCTCTTTATTCCTAATCAATGCAGGACTTTTTGTAGAAACAAATGATTTTTTTTTATCAACATTTTTTATGGCTTATTTTATGGTTCAATTTTAGGATTTGTTTTTATCACATTTTAGAAAATTGTTTTGCTTTTTATTCAAAATACTTGAAAAGGTAGCCAATTGTTATTTTCTAAAATCTGCTTGTGCTTCCCTCTCTGGTTTTACTTTTTTGAAAAGATATTCTGAACATTTTATCTATCTCAAAATTTTTTTCAGTATATATTTTTTTCTCTTTCAAGTTCCAATTGTGAATATAAAAAAAAAAACTTATGAGAAAGTTAATTTTACCATGTTATAGATTTTTTTACTTAAACAATCTCTTGTAAAATATATTTATAATATAGATCAAGAAAGAGACAGATCGAAAGCAAAAAAGAATTTATAGTAAATTATACGAGATTCTAGTTGATTTAAATATTTGTCAAACAGAAGCATCATTCAAAACAAATATATATTTATTAAGAAAAAAAAAATGATTATGCTGCCATTTGTTTGTGTTGGCTGATTTTGGAAAGTAATATTGCATCCAGCAGGAGTCAGAAGATATGGAGTCGAATAAAGTGAAAACCTTCTATATTAGTAAATTTTCTTCTCCCTACCATTGTTTGAGCCCGTTTCTTTTCTCGTACTTGTTTAATCCAATTTTTATATTTTTATGCCATTTGTACACCACAAATGCAGACCATACCGATGCTGGGAAATTTAAAAAAAAATAAGGTGCGTAATTGGATAGTGGGGAGCAACGAATATCGAATAATATACAATTTCCAAGGGAAATGAATAAACATGGTATTTGCCTTTCTATTCTTCTTTTTCATGTGGTACCTGGCCCTTTAATCCATCTAATATGTTTTAGATTTTCAAAAGAGAAAAAATAATTATCAACGTTTACGCTAAGTGTTTTTTTATTTAATAAAAGAATTTATTTTAGTAAATTTTATTTTTTTTCAAAGAAATTAATCTCTAATTTTCTATTAGAAAATCTTTAGTATATACAACACACATATAATATGTGGAGGTCTATTTTATTTTGATCCCTTTCTTACCTGATATTAATGTTTTAATCACCCAATATTAAGGGTACATGCATAAGAAATAGAATATTGGGAAGGGGAGGGGGGGGGTTCAAAATAATAGATATTTGGTTATTCTCTAGTCCTATTGCACGTCCCATGTGCATGAATTTTAGCCTATTTATGGGACGGTTGTTTCGGGTTTAAACCCATCTATATAAATCTCCCCTTAGCCAATTAGTTAATTTTTAATTCAGATTTAGTTCAATCATGGTTTAATTCTTGTTTGGATTATATATATAAGTTGCAACATTATATACATATAATATATAAAAATTTTGAAGTAAAAACAAATTAAAACTTAAAGAAGTTTTATAATATGTCTCAATTTTATCAATATTTATATTCATATTGTGCAACAATATTAATTTAAATTTAAGGAAAATAACTATTTATCACTAATATTTAATGCTTATAGATTCTAATTTTACTTTGATTGAAATAACTCAAATCCAAATAAAAAATTCAGTAAAATTGACTCAATATTTTTAATTAAGTAAGATGTCAAATTAGATTAGGATTTTAAGAATTATGGATTACATCCATTCTCAGGCAAAGAGTTGAGTCTCATATTTGATTATTATAGACAAAAAAAGTTACAATTAAAAGGAAAATTTTCATTAAATGTGATCAATGTGGATGAAAATTTTGCGTCAATAATACTAAATATACATTAAAACTTATTTATAAAACTGAAATCCATCGACATTCGGAGGAGAGATGTTTAAACTTGCAAGTTGCAACAGCATGTGATTTGATATGTCCAAAGGCATTAATGCTTCCCCAACAGCAACAGCAACACCAGAATTTACATCGATGAATACCATCCCTCTAAAATTGCTCTCATAAGTAAACCTCGTCTAGCAAGGGAATGTTAAGTACTATATGTTTTTTGAAAATCATAATTTTGACACACAGAAAAATGTAGTGAAAGAGAAATGAAGAGCAATTAAGATGTTACTGTACTAGTTATGAATGCCACTTGCACTTCCTTTATCAGAAGTTCCAATGAGTCCCTCTCTCCTCATTTTGTCTTCCTTAGCTTTCCTACAGAAAACGACCCAAGAGTTGACCTCCAAAGCAATGGAGACTCCGATGAGAGTAGAGAGGCCCAAGCAGTAAGTCAACTTAGCGTAGGACCTGCTGGCACCCATAACCTCGAACCCCTCGAAGACGTTGACGAAGCCAAGCACCACACACGAGTACCCTACAAAGTGGTGGTACGACTTCCAATACTTTCGGAACTTGTTCCTTGCGTTTGGTCTGAATAACAAAGCAAGAGTTTGCAACGCGCCAAGACTAAACACCGCTACTCCCAGCTTACGGTGGAGACTGTACTCCACTCCCGGTGAGAGTTGCCCCAACCGGATTCCGATGCCAAATCCAACGCTTCCCACAACGAAACCCAATAGTTGTATTCCTGCATGCATGCAACATATTTTCACTACAAATTAATATCGTAATTAAAGTATGAAAAAAAAAAAAAAGTAATATTGATGAGTTAATCCCAAAGTTTTTTTAGTCAACGTAATTATATGTTACTATAAATACATTTATTTTTAACCGTGATATAACACAATTAAAATATATAATTAATTTAAAGATGATTAACTAACCTGCATGCGCATAGAACCATGCAGGTCCAAGTGTCTGAATGTGCCTAAGGTACCGCGCGCTGATGGCTCCCATCGGAAGCATAATCCCCCACGAGACGGCGTTAATGATGCCATGGATGACTCTCAACGCCGTCAGATCCGCGTGCTGTGGAGCGGAGGAACCCGACAACACGTCGAAAGTGGCAATCGAAGACAGATCGGTGGCAGTGGTTGGATGAATGGTGGGAGAGTATCCCTGAACGTACAATCCTCTGTTCCACACCAGGTGAATCTTCGTCTTGTTCGGTTGAAGCTTCACCGCGCCCGAGATCTGGATGGCGGCGCCGTTGTGCACGGTGGCCATCTTGCCGCCGTACATGGTGGCGGTGGAGGAGAGCAAGTGGATGTCGAGCGGGCGAGAGAGTAGGGGAGACTTTTGGAGCTTCACGGTGGGGTCCAGGATGTAAGGTAGGAGCACTATTTGGCCCGAGTTAGGGTCTGGAAACGCTATTAGGGCACGTGTTCCGGTCATCTCCGGCGATGTGGGATTTATGCCCCACCCGACCCAACCTGAAGGCGAGATGAAGCTTCCGAAGAAGGCTAGTTCTAAGGTCGAGTTGTGGGGGTGGAATGTCCACGCTATGGAGGCTTGTTGCGTTGGGAGGTTCATGCATTTTTCGAACGTTCTGGTGGTGGTTTCGGTGGTGCAATGGGAGGAGAGTGCGATGTGGGGGAGGGAACACAAGAAGGAGAGGTAAAGAAGATGAAGCATGGTGAATGGTGTGATCGATGGAGATGAATTCAAGTGATCAAGGATGGCAATGGTTGAATGCTTTGATGCTTGCTTTTGTTAACCAGAAATGATAACTAACTCTCTCTAAAGAGTTTTGTGTTTCATTTAATGAATCTCTTTTTTGATATGGTGATACAAGTGGTGATCATGGATGGAGAGTTGAAGTTGAGGATGGTTGATGCTTGCTTGTTTTTGTTAACAATGTTGTGTTTTGTAATGATGTGTTGGGGAGAGTGTAATGCGTGCCATTATGGACGTAATAATAAGTGAAGAACATAGTTTGGGGTTGGTGCTTGACTTTGAAGGAAAGACAATGTGGTTGTGTGTGCGTTTGGTGGGAATGGGAGAGTGTGGTTGGCTATAAAATTTGTATGATAGTAGAAGGCAATATAGTATCAAAGGAGATATTATTATGTCGAGTGCCACTACTTCTTTTGATTCTAGTCGTTATCGTCACGAGATACGGCTGATTCATCTTTGCATATTCTGCTTCGCTTTGAAGCTATGCCATAATCATTGTAATTCAGAAATCTTACAGTCAATTTTGTTTATAAGAAAATGAGATCAGTACTGTTTAATAGTCCTTTAATTATGTTCGTAGTTTGAATTCCAAACCAGAGAAAACAAGAGTGATCATATTTCGAAACATAAAATTATCAACCATCAAGGGATGATGACACTCCTTATATATTTCTTTTTATCTTCCTCTCTTTTTGTTATATTAAGTCTCCGACAATATAATTAATTATCTCTCTTTTCTTATTTTTTTTTTCTCAATATGTTTACACCTTATGGGTATTCAAGAATCATTTTGAAAAGAAAAAAAATTGTAATGTCAATATTGCCGCAACTTTGTGGGTATATAAAGAGACAATTCTATAGTGTGAATTTTCCGATTAATCTTTAGGATTAAAATCACGATTTTAATTGTAATATATGGACGTGAAGGAAATATATTCATGAATTTTGTCAATGACAAATTTTTATAAAAATTTTTAACTATTTTTTTTCATTTATAAATTTTTTACATATTAATTAATTTAAATTATTTCTAAAGTAATTTTTAAAATATTAAAAGTCAATCATTTCTGTTATTTGTAAAATTGTAAGATTAGATGATGGTATAATTTTTTTTTATACTACCAATGTATTATAATTAAATTCAAACAAATTAATTAATGATAGACAACATAACTTATTATTTAAACACTGTAAAAAGTTTATTATTTAAATGAGAATAAAATTTAGATATACTTTTTCAGAAAAGTAATAGTGCTGTTATATTTTCATGCAATAATAGCGCTGCTATATACAACTCATCAACAATTTTATCAAAATGATATCTAACTTTTGAATTATTTATTAAACTAGATTAAACGTAATTTCAGTTAACGACTTATTACATTAACCTTTTTATTTAAATCGTCATTAACATTTTGAAATCGTTGTCTTTGAAATTCCCGGTAAGAAATATTAAACAAATATATATTAATATTTTTTTATTGTGTTATATGATAATTTTCTTATAAGCCAATCATTTATATCATCATATGGTGAGGTGATGTTATAAGTCATATTTTTTTAACCGCCGTTCCTAGATTATTCTATTTTTCTTGAACAATAAAAGGTTCATCAACTATATAACATCATAATTTGTCTTTGTGAAAAAAATATCAAATAAAAAAAAAAGTATAAATAGTTTGTTCTTAGGGGCTATTTAAATATATCTTCGCGCGCTCTCAGCCCAAAAACTTACTCAAATCAAAATATTTAGTTTGGTTCCAGCCCAAAATCTAATTGAACATGCCCAATATAACCCAACTGAAACATTTTTGGTAGGCCCCGTCCAAAACTAAAGTTTTACAGTAAACTACTAAAGTAAATATATGGACAAAAAAGGTAGAATATAAATATAATAGAAAATAATAATTAAACAATAAATAACCCAAATAATAAGTTAGTCAAAATCCGTTGCCTCTTCTATTTTCATTGAAGTTATATTCCCAATAATAACATATGCCAAAATAAAAGAACCATGAGGCAACTAGTCTTCACATAGCAAAGTGGGACTTAATTAGAGAAAGATAATTAAAAATTGTGGCGCCAAGTATTCAACATGGAACTTCACAGTTGTCCAAAGATGTGCATGGACGATCCTTGTGTTCAAGAGAGATTATCTCGCTAATTACTTGTTGTTTATCTGCTTGAAAATGCTCGTCCGCTGAAAAGTTAAAGAATTAAAAATTGAATAATTAGACATACATAATACATTAATTACAAGTGAAGCAAGATCTTAATTTAATCATACCTTTGTCGCTGTTGAATTTCTCCAAAAATTGCAAAAGCTTATGTTTGTTTGTAACAAGTATGCTAATAACTTCAGGAGGCTTGTTTTGATTTGCAACAAATAGCTGTCGATCACAGAAAATTACACCAATTAATTCAAACTAATTAATTAAGAATGCTCTATATAATTTAGAAGAATTCATAAATAAACATATATTTTCTCCATTCCACACACCTTGAAAACGTGGAAGGTGTCCAATTGAATTGTCTTATTTGAATCCTGAAAATTAAGGAAGAAGAAAAGAATGAACAAATAATAAGTATGTACTTTTTTTTTTCTTTTTTTTTAATGTTTTGCAGGTGTGAAAAATGTGAGTATAGGAGAAAACATACTCTTAGGAGATTCATGAGGATCCTCATATTATCTAATGAGCTCACATACCGGACCATCACAGCAGAATTCGAGCGATCCAATAGCATATTCCCCAATAACTGTAACATATTTTATTACTAAATATGATTAGGAAAGTCTTCTAAACACTAAATAACATGATATGACTATTGCAAAAGTGAAAATGGTATATATAGAATAGATGATGAAATAGAAACCTAAAAGGCAAAAGAGACTCAAAAGTGAAAATGTATTTGGGACTTGAAGAATCAAAAAAAGAAGAAATATTTTTATACCTTGATCGCGTAGCGTCTAGTGAAATAACTTGTAGATTCAAGCAACCGAGAGTTGTACTCACTGAAGAACTGTCAGACATATAGGGAAACGTTGTAGCAGATGATCGATATCTTAAAATATTGCTTAAACATAAAACATAAAAGCTATTTTAATTTTGTGCGAAAACAACCAAATTATAAAAATGTTAGAATTTGTGATTAATTCATGTTGCGTATGTTGACATCAATCATAATTTTTAGAAAGTCACGAATTCATGACAAGTGAAATACTTGTTAACCAAATTAAATATAATTTAACCTTTCACTAACATGGAAGATAAAACAATTAATTAATGATAGGAGAAAATTATATCCCTCTTCAATAAATACTTGTATATATAGCTTTGTTGCATGACATAGAAATATATACATCAAGTAGAGTAGACTTTGTATGGTGCACTTACCCAGTCATAATTTTTAGAAAGAAATTCAGCGACCGTAGATTTATGCCTTGTCAATAGCTCCTGTGTGCATCAATCAGGGGAATGTATCAGCATAGATTTGTAGTTTAAGGGTATTATTTGTTTGGATTTTTTAGAAAACGATGGATAAATAAAAGATGCAAAATAAAAATATATATATTGTCGGTATGGATATGTGATTTTTTTCACATTCATTATCGTTTACAGTCCTTTGATTTGCAGATTTTTATCTCTTTTCATTTCCCGTCACATATACTCCTTCATACCCTATATATGCTCCTTCTTAACCATTATACAATAACAAACTTAGACATGCATGCAATATATATTATAGATATGTCTTGGGCCTTATTATGTAGATAGTGAGAAGTGACGTAGATTTGTGAATGCAACTTAAAAGATATGGTATATCATAAGTATATATACTTTAAAAGTTGCAACGGCATCTGATGCTATTTCAAAATTTGGTAGTTGGATATAGTCAAAAAACTTCTTCATGTTCTCTGATTCCAAGACATGCCTGAGAAACAAAAATTAAGCTCGTCAGAATTTATAAGAGGAAGAAAAAAAAGAGAGGAAGGAATTGCGTGTTGGATAACTCAATATTATGATTATTTAGTTAATTAAGAGATGATTGAAATTGCGTACGTACCTCGCTACGCACTGGTGGCGTATGCACTCCCTTGCAACCGCACCATACGTGAGAGCAATGTCACCCTCTAGTTCATACCTTTTATTAAATCAACTTTCCAACGTTAACCATTAATTTATGCAGACGGAAATGAAATTCGAAAATTGAATGTGAAATGTTACGTACCCACATACGAGCATATCCACGAGATCTAGGTTTTTTTCCAGATACTGAGAAGCAATTATCTGCGAATTAACTCGCTGCCTTTGCAAGTTCGCAATCACGTGGGTTACATCTTGGCGTGCCTAATTAAACACATAGATGAATTAATTGATTCTTCCATATGCGGGAAACTTGTTTGATTCACACTATTATTTGTTCGTTATAAAAATTTTAAAAAAAAAAAAAAAAAAGTAGCGAAAATAGTAATAGTATATAAAACATTATACAAAGGGATAAGAATGATTACCCCGAGTTTGAGATTTGTGAGAAAGAGGATAAAGAGGCGAAATGTGTCGTCTCTGAAAAACTCGCGAGTGATCTGAGAACACGCATCGGGATTTGGCTCGGATTCGCCGTTTCCATAGAGAACAGTCCTTATTTCCAGTATGGTTTTGCATAGCTCAGATAGCTGCAACGCATGCATTTCAATTATGCATGCATATCAAAACATGGAAAAAGAGTAATTTAATAATCTCTTTAAAATTAGGGACTAATGAAAGAATTAATTACCTTCTCTTCGCGTTTACTTTCTCGAGTAATTGTTTTGGATTGGAGAAAGATGAGGAGTTCCCGGGCATGGCGCACGAGCTCGACGGGTGTTTTGGGCTTTTGCTTGAAAAGGGTTTTCTTCATGTTTGGTGTTAGGGCATTGGAGATGATGGTTAGGTTGTGTGTTTATTTGATGTGTGCTTACAATAATGGAAAAGGTTATTTTGGGAAAGAGAGAAAAGCAAGGTGAGTTGTTAAGAGATAGATAGATAAATGAAAATAGCAAGGGACTCCTGCATTCCCTCTCAACTTCTTCTTCCTGTTATTATTAACAAACAACTTACCTTCAAATAGTAGTGACACCATTCTTCCACCTTTTCTTAATCTAATATATATAGAATATGTTAGCAAATTTATAAAATTAGACTTCTCTATATTATGTTACATGTAAAAATTGAGGGTATTAAAGTCTTTTTTAATAATATTTTTATTTTTATTTTTTTTAAATTCTTTTTAATTTAAAAAATAAAATTTATTTGAAATCAATTATTATAAAAAGAGAATATTTTATTTTTTAATTGAATTTATAATCTAAATTTTTACTTTTTATTCCTTTTATCATCATTCTCAAAATATATTATCATTATCTAATTTGCATATATTTTATTTTATTTTTCTCTTACTTTCTCACATCGATTATAAATAAAATAATTAATTAAAAAAATAAGAAAATTAAATAATATATAAATAGATGACAACTCTTATCTCAAACTTTTAGTAATAATAACAAAAAAATATTAAATATTAGTAAAAAAATGTCACAAAAACTTGTACATTTTTTCCGGCCATAATAAAGGTCTTCACCAGCATGAAAAATAATTGTTGATATTCTAATGACATTGCATACAATGATTAATGTGAAAATGTTGGTAAAAGATTTTGTAGTAATTTTTATTTTCACTAAAAATTATATTAAATATCACTAAAAATTTCTTTTATTGTAATGTGGCTCAAACATTCCTCATATCATATTACTCATCATTCATATTTATGTACTCGTATATAGATTAATAGGAAAATGAAGATATTAAAAATAATAAAAAAACATGGATCACATATTTTTTATTTTTTCACAATCTATACTGCAGTAATGAACAATACACATTTTGAAATTAATTTTTAATCGATTGAAAAGATATTGAAATCAATTAAATTGATATTTATACATAAAGTTGTAAATGTTATTTTTATTTAATTGATTAAATAAAATAAACAATTACGTGTACTCTTTTTTAAGAGAGTATATTACATCACCTTTTTTGAGAAATAAGAATATCCTTTATTATTATATAAAAATATATAATTTAATTTATTTAACTTAATGTTGTTAAAGTAAGTTATATTACCCTCCTTAAAAGACATATATTATATTATCATTTCTTCATATATTAAAAATATAGAATAAATTACATTTTTATTTTTTAGAGATATATATGAGTATTATATCATTACTCTCTTATTATATTAAAATATATAATTTAGAGTATTTAACTTAATATCCTAAAAAAATTCACCATAATTAACATTTTAAAATATATTTTTGATTAAAATATATGATAAAATATTTTTAATTTATTATCATCTATTCACTTGATAAAAAATCATAAAATATATAATTAAATTAAATTTTTTAAAATAATAAATAAAATAAATTACATATGCAGACTTATATATA